CCCTTTTGATCTCAGTGGTCACTAACTGTAAGGAGTGTACACCTCCCCAGTGCTTTCACCTGCCCCTTCGCTCAAGTCCTATGTATCATTTAGCTGGAACTGAGGCATGCACGGGAGCTCATTTCCAGACCTGAGGGGGTGAGGCCAGGGTGGGGAGAGGTGGCAAGGGCCACAGTCTTGAGAGTTCTACCAGTCTCTGGTCAGTAAGCCTGGTCTTTTCTGAGACTTGGAGTTCTGCTCCACGCTCTTCTCCCACTCTCCAGGGCCAACTATTGTGATCCTTTCTGAGTAGTTGGCAGTGGGAGCTGGGCACCATTGAGCTTTTCTAACCAGACCTACGTTTCGGAAAGATCATTTTGGCTCCTGTTTTGAGAATCAATTATAAAAGTGGGAAAATGAAACCCAGGTCACCATTACTTAATAATAAGTAATGCAATAACCAGCTGAGAGATGACGGTGGCTTGAGGCAGGCTGGTGGTCAAGGAGACTGTGACAAGTGGTCACTTTGGGGATACGTTTAAAAAAGGACAGGGTGTATTTAGACTAGATAGGAGAAGGAAGGCGTCAAGGATGACCCTAAGTTTCTGACCCAAGCTGATGGCAAGAGAAGGCTGATGTGTACAGGGGCAGCGAAGTATCAGAATTTTAGTTTGGGGCAGGCGACATATATGCTATCTATTAGATATCTATGCGGAGATGATTTTGACAGTGAAATTGGGTGAGCATTTGAATCTGGAGATCTGGCACAAGGCTGGGGCTGAGACAATACATTTGGGATCATCAGCACGTAGGTGTTGTTAGGTGCCACCGAGTCAGCCAGACTGCGGCAACTTTATGCAAAACCACACCAAACAGTGCCTGGCCCTGCGCCATCTTCCCATTGCTACGCTTGAGCCCACTGATGTAGCCCCTGTGTCAATCCTCTCAGCAAGGGTCTTCCTCCTGTTCCACTTATGGGTGGTGGTAGCTAACGCCTGAAAGAGTAACAGACACCGAGAAAAGAAGAGACAGGACCGACTGATTCCCAGTGTTCAGTGGATGTGGGAGGTGGAAACCCTGGAGACTGGGATGTCCTGGAAGGCAGGTGGGAAAAGTGATCCTAGGAGAAGATAAACAATCACAACAATGGTTTAGGAGAAAATTGTCACCAACACTGACCACTGGGTTAACACAGCAGAGCTTCCAGTGAAGTAGTGAGGATGAAGTCTGACTGGATTAGAGAGAAAATGAGAGGAGACAACACTTGGAGAGTGAGTTTAGATATCATCTTTGTTAAGTTTCCTCCTATCTTTAAACATGAACAGGGAAGTGGGGATGGTAGCTAGATGTTCTTGTTTTATACTATTATTTCATTTAATCCAATTCCTTTCCTCTGTAAGAATTGAGAACATTTCTTCATGGTAGACTACTGTAAATGAACATGTTCTCCTCCTCTGGCACAGTCTAGCCAATAAAAGCTGACAACAATCTAACATCAAATGGCAAAGCTGGAGGGGGCGGCGGCGGGGAACCGAAGGTACTACAAACAAAGCTGCTAGTGAGTCCAGGCTGAAAAGTAACTGGGAGCTAGGATTGTGGTGCACTGAAAAGAATCTTCCAGGCAAGATTTCATTGTCTCTTCGGAGCTTTGGTACAGTCTGAGCTCAAGGGTTCCAGCCAGCACATTAACATGGTGAACTGTGTCAAGAAAGATGTTCACTCCCAGTCCATCTGCTGACTTTGGAAGTCTGCTCCGTGATGCGACGAGACCGAGCGTGTTTTCCCATCCCTTCTGCACCATGAAACCCAAGACCATCACCACGCACAGGCGACTGCACTGGCAGACAGATATGGTTCTCTTTCTTTCAAGGAACTCTATCTTCAAGCTCCTATGTACACCGTACACTCACTCCACATCAACTTCGATTAATCCACCTTCTTAAAAACCAACATCGGTAGAGGATATTAAAACTGCCTCTAATACTGGCTGAGGGTCAAGCCCCAAGCATAGCTTAGAAAACAACTGCTGTTACTCAATACTGGCAAAATCAGTCATTTTTGTATTATCTTGATTGGCAGAGTAGTAGTGCCCCACGTCCTGCCAGTACCAGGCGTAGGGAACTACACAGTGCTAAGTGGGGGATGGTCTTTGCCTTGAAGGAGTCCCCTGTCTAAATGAACAAGCTAACACAACAGTTAATGTTTTACAGTTCAATACTTAAAGGCAGAACTGTGGCTCAGACGACATACAGAAAGGGAATTTAGAAGATAAATCTTACTGGAGTCTAGGGACATAATAGCACACGTTCATCTCGGAGATGTCTGAGGAGGCTCGGGGGTCTGAACGCATGCTCCCTTGGAAGGGACTTTTCTATTTCTGTTCCTCTCGGGAGGCCCTCACATGGCCTTACCAGGAATTACAACACTGACCGGCTTTCTCCACCCTTCATTCTTGGCAGAGGGGCTGGGCTTCAGAACTCACACTGATTGGTGGGGCTCTCAAGCTAACTGTTTGGTCAGCATCTACCAAAGGAACTGATCAACAAGGACACTGGCAAGCATCAATTGAACACTCAGAGGACATCAGTTTGAGGCTCTGGCAGGCAGTCCTCCCTGCCCCCACTTCCAGAAAGACTGATTCAGAAGTGAATGATGTACCCAAATTCCCATTTAGCATGTTGGGAAGAACCAGGTCACACGCACTAGTGTGCAGCTACAGTAAGCATTGCAAGCGACAAATCTATCTTGGAAAAAGTACAGCTAGAATGGTTCCTTAGTATCAAGGATGTGATGAGACTCTACCTGGCTTCCTCTGGACAAGTTATCAGGAGGGACCAATCCCTGGAAAAGGACATCATGCACAGAAAGGCAGAGTAAAAAGAGTAAGAGAAAAAGAAGACCCTCAAGAGAGGAACCGACACAGCAGCTTCAACAAGGGGCTCACACATAACAATGCTTGAGCGGCT